GTGGTAGTTTTTGTCCCTGTATTCTGTCCCCCACCCCGACCACCAAAAAATAGCATTAAAATCATTATATTTGCTTAATATGACGAATTGTTCCATATATAAAAATATTTTAAATTCCAAACAAAACGACAAGTTATCGCTTGTCCCAGTAGTCGGTATGCGCATGACCGGAAATGCCTCGAGTCTTTAACTAAGTGTTAATCTTCGGTCCTACTACGACTAATAATACTTACTACAAGCCAGGATAGATCCAAACAAAATGCTGTAACTAAATCCAAGGCCCCTGTGTGCCCGTCCATCCACATTACACTTTTTGTAACTAAATCTCAGGTCCCTGAGTACCCGTCCACCCACTCTACAAATTTTATAACTAAATAGCAGGTCCCTGTGTATCTGTCTACCCACACTACACTGCTGTAACTAAAACTCAGGTCCCTGTGTACCCGTCCATCCACACTAGACTACAGTAACTATATATCAGGTCCCTGTATATCTGTCCACCCACACTACACTGCTGTTACTAAATCTCAGGTTCCTGTGTATCAATCCACCCACACTAGACTGATGTAACTAAGTCCCATGTCCCTGTTTATCCGTCCACCCACACTACACTGCCGTAACTAAATCTTAGGTCCCTGTGTACCCATCCATCCACACTTCACTGTTGTATCTAAATCCATGGTCCCTGTGTATCTGTCCACCCACACTACACTGCTTTAACTAAATCTCAGGTCCCTGTGCACCCGTCCAACCAAACTTCACTATTGTATTCAAATCCCAGGTCCCTGTGTATCTGTCCAACCAGATTACACTGCTGTAACTAAATCTCAGGTCCCTGTGTACCCGTCCACCCACACTACACTTGTTATAACTAAATAACAAGTCCCTGTGTATCTGTCCACCGACATTACACTGCCGTAACTAAATCTTAGGTCCCGGTGTACCCATCCACCCATACTTTACTGTTGTATCTAAATATCAGGTACCTGTGTATCTGTCCACCCACACTACACTGATGTAGCTAAATATCAGTTCCCTGTGTATCTGTCCACCCACATTACAACGCAATAACTAAATCCCAGGTCCCTGTGTATCTGTACATGTCCATCCACACTAGACTGCTGTAAGTAAATATCAGGTCCCTGTGTACCCGTCCACCCATAGGCGCAGTATGGACCTTCAAACGAATATACATTTCCAAATCTGAAAATACAGGGTGTTCAGTCGTGATCTTATTTCTGTTTTGCCAAACATCTTAATTTTTTTACAAATCTCCAATTATTGACAGTTTCAGTTTCATGTCAAATCTACAAATTGAAACAGTTGTTTTTCTCTATATTTTTCAAAATAGTTAACTCGTTTTCAGTTCCCTGTGTATTCATCCACCCACACCACAGACCTTAAATGAGTTTTACTGCTGACGCGGGTAACGGAATACAATCTTCCTTAAATCCGGTTCCACGTAACGTTAGTCGATCTGACGTCATGTTCGGTATGTCCACATATCGTGTTGAAGAACCAATGAAATTCCTTGTTACATAAAAGTAAATGAAAGTACCAGTAAATGCAATAAACTATAGAATAGGACCATATTATCCTGTTTCACAAGATTGCATAAACATGTTATTCATGATTAGCCCCTCCCCTCCTACTTCTAAGAAATCGCTGTTTTTTCCTTTGCAGTTAATTAGAATTAAGGATCAGATTGAATGACCTTGTTTTCCCACACTTATAACACAGAGTACGCCGGCCTACGTGCCGAGTTATGATGAAGTGCATGATATGATCGTTAGAAATGCGGCATCACTTTTCCTGTGACGCTGTTTGCTGTTTCATTTTTGTTGATTTAACGTTTTTTTACCAATACATGTACTTATTTTGTGTATCCTCGTCACTTTATCCGTCATTTGCCCCATCTTACAAAATGAAGTTGAATTATTCCACGCTTCCTCCGATTTACACCTCGGCAGATCTCAAGTTTATCTTGGGTTCGTATCGATACTACGATGGTACATTAAGGACATGCACAATAGTATTTTCTAAATGAACTATCTCGAGCGCTCGATTTTAGACTTTACGTATAATCGCTTCATAATAGTATTGTATGATAGCAGAGGATAAGTCGAGCGCTCGAGATAGTAAATGTAGAAAAAATATATTGTGCATGTCCTCAATGTACCACCATAGAATACAATGTTCGAGGATAAAACAATATTTCAGGACGGCGTCAATTTAAGGGTATACGCTACCTTTCTGTGACATCTACTTTGCCTACAAGACCTCCACAATAAAACGTAAACAATGATGACACAATCAACAACAGTTTTACAGTAAAATAGGCCACGTCACAAGACCGGGATTCGAACTCTGGACCTCTGACTACAACATGACCACTCTAACTAACTAAGCGACCTGACCAGCGGTAGTTTTCTGGTCAAATTCCACTACAGCTATACCCAAAACGAGAGTGGGGGTTACTTTTGTAGGAACACACTACAACAGGGTTCTCCAGTAATTTACCTGTAATGGGACGGGGATTCTTAACTCATAACATATTTAAACAGAATGTGTGCATAACAGCAAAATTCCAGAAATATAACAATAAAGGAATATCATGAACAAAATTCATAAATTTTAGAAAAAGATGTATTGTTGATATTGTCACAATCATTGCTTTGTGTACGTCATTGATTTTCGTGTGCATTATTCTTCTTTGTAGTACGTCATTGATTTGTGAATATATCACTGCTTAATTTACGTCATTGATTTGTGAGTACATGTACATCACTGCTTAATTTACGTCATTGATTTGTGAGTACATCATTGATTTGTGAAGTACATGTATGTCATTGATTTGTGAGTACATCGTTTCTTTGTGTACGTCATTGATTTGTGAGTACATCGTTTCTTTGTGTAGTACATGTATGTCATTGATTTGTGAGTGCATCGTTTCTTTGTGTAGTACATGTATGTCATTGATTTGTGAGTTCATCGTTTCTTTGTGTAGTGCATGTATGTCATTGATTTGTGAGTACATCGTTTCTTTGTGTAGTGCATGTATGTCATTGATTTGTGAGTTCATCGTTTCTTTGTGTAGTGCATGTATGTCATTGATTTGTGAGTACAGTTGTATATAACGTATCCCTGCGTGTACTTTTGTACACCGTAATCTGTATGTACATCATGGATATATGTTAACTACATCATTTAACAATATGATAACCACTGTAACCGACCTCGAGATACCACAACAATGTCCGGGTTCGAGTAATCTGGGTGTTCAGCTGTTGTCGTGGTGTATATAACTTTAATTCACCAGTGCACGTAAACCGTATTGTAATTTTGGTACAAAAGACTTGTGTTTATGTAAAGGCTATGTACAGCCAGGGCTAAATATTGGAGTGTTCTACATAAACTGGAAAAGCTTTTCGAATCAGGAGAGTGTTTGACATATACATTGTTCGGTTGAGAGAAGTTGAGAGAAGATGAGAGAAGTTGAGAGAAGATGAGAGAAGATGAGAGAATTTGAGAGAAGATGAGAGAAGACATAAATTTGGAAAAACTATTTGATTTAAAAGTGTCCGATATATATGTTTGACAAATTATTCGATTTATGATGAGTTTTCGACATAGCCAAGTTCGACATAAGCGGACGTTTTCCTGTTTCATATCAAACGTAGCTGCCAATAAAACTAAAGTTGGAGTGAAGGGGACGCCTATTATTTTAATAATTATCTCGGTAACTGGTCCTTTCTATTTTTCAGTATTACCACAAAGCTTCCCAATATTACCTAAGTCAACATGTACTCAGTATACTACCTTGCGAGTTTACTTCTTCTCGACAGGGCGAGCGGTCAGTATATTGTATAGACTGAGATTGTGTATATCTATATATTTTATGAATACACTGGGCACGTACACGAAATGTAATTCATGCTTATCTTATCTATGATTGTTTACACATGAATAACCGCTTTCTATTAGTCATGTACTTTGGAGAAGAGAGGGGGAGGAGGAAGGAGGAGGTCCGTAATTAGGTAGACATGCCCGTAGTCCAGTCACGACAGATAAGGGAAAGCCACAAGTATTTATTAACAAAAAATGGCTGATTTCAACAACTTAACGAAATACATTTTTACTAAAATATATCATATACTCCTGTGCCTTCGTTTTTGTGCCATAATTGATCTTAGCTATTTCACATTTTATGATATTATAATACACACAAAGCAATGGTGCAGTTTACGATTACTATAAAGCATGTATGGTAAATGACAGAATCCCAGAAACTGTTGAAGAGGACCTAGGGAACCTGTATCAGATCTATACCTCTAAGTATTTAATAGTTAACTTCTACACAAATCGCCGGTGAATATTAAAATTGCCGTAACAAAATAACAAAGCAAGATCATCTCATTTAGAAGCTATCAATTTTAACGATTGGTATACATTTCTTTTCATGCAAAATTATCTTTGTTCAAATTTATCATAAATACGTTAAGGAGAGTAATTTTTATCTTAGATGGAAATGATGAAATTAAAAACCGTACATATTGGATGTCTTAAGGAATGTTTATATACTTTGCATGAATGCATGTATTAGATTTAACATGGATAGGTTTTATATAGAGTTGTTTACTGTAGAAATAGTCAATACATACATAAGTTAACAATACTTAAACACTGGGCCTGTCTCGGGTAAAATAAAACGGTATGTGTATCTCGATGACTGCGCGGTAAGTCGGTGCATAAACACTTACGAGAAATCGCCACACCGAGGGCTCAGTCTTTTGAAGTTCATTCAAGCAATGGTTTGAGCTGACGTCATAGGGAAGTGTTTACACTAAACGACTACCTATGAACAAACAGCTCTGCGCGGTCAGTGCTCGTGCGGAAACCCAATGTCCTTATAAGGATAAGTAGTACAATTAAATCGGGTGCAGTTTGTAAAGGTAATATCCGATCAGACCAGTATAAATAAGGAGGATACAACAACACTGTCATTTAACACACTGGACTGATAGCGTTAGCAATCAAAGCAGTGTTTGTAAACTGGACAAGATTTTAAAGTTAATTAGAGTTTTGACTGGAGAGCTTAAACTAATTGATTACATTTGTTTTTAATTTAAATTTTATTCATTTTATTAATTATGAAGACCATTCGTTTCGCTGTTGTCGTATGTATCATCCTAGCTGTTTGTGGGATACACTCAACGGGTGCCAAATCGACAGGGGACATAACTCGTAGAGAAAAACGTCAAGCCGTGGATATTGATGTAAGTATATTTTGTATTGCATTGCTTAACGATCAGGTACTGATTTACTCACAAAACAAAATGTGTGATTTTTTTAACAATTTATTACAGTTATTGTTTGTATATAGAGTCTCTCAGTGGTCAAACAGTTATTGTATACTGACTTTGCGCTTCGTAGATTGTATAACACTGGAAAATAAACCCTTACACAAAACGTAAGTTAACAAGTTGCACGGAACGCATAGGGCATGGACCATACACGTGAATTGGTTACCAACATACAAGGTCATGGACCATACACGTGGATTGGTTACCAACATTCAAGGACATGAACCATACACGTGTATTGGTTACCAACAAACAAGGGCATGGAACAATCACGTGTATTGATTACCAACATTCAAGGGCACGGACCATACACGTGCATTGATTTCCAACATACAAGGGCATGAACCATACACGTGTATTGGTCACCAACATACAAGGGCATGGACCATACAAGTGCATTGGTTACCAACATACAAGGACATGGACCATACACGTGTATTGGTTACCAACATTCAAGGACATGGACCATACACGTGTATTGGTTACCAACATACAAGGACATGGACCATACACGTGCATTGATTACCAACATACAAGGGCATGGACCATACACGTGTATTGGTTACCAACATTCAAGGGCATGGACCATACACGTGCATTGGTTACCAACATACAAGGACATGGACCATACACGTGCATTGGTTACCAACATACAAGGACATGGACCATACACGTGCATTGGTTACCAACATACAAGGACATGGACCATACACGTGTATTGGTTACCAACATTCAAGGACATGGACCATACACGTGTATTGGTTACCAACATACAAGGACATGGACCATACACGTGCATTGATTACCAACATACAAGGGCATGGACCATACACGTGTATTGGTTACCAACATTCAAGGGCATGGACCATACACGTGCATTGGTTACCAACATACAAGGACATGGACCATACACGTGCATTGGTTACCAACATACAAGGACATGGACCATACACGTGTATTGGTTACCAACATACAAGGACATGGACCATACACGTGTATTGGTTACCAACATACAAGGACATGGACCATACACGTGTATTGGTTACCAACATACAAGGACATGGACCATACACGTGTATTGGTTACCAACATTCAAGGGCATGGACCATACACGTGTATTGGTTACCAACATACAAGGACATGGACCATACACGTGCATTGGTTACCAACATACAAGGACATGGACCATACACGTGTATTGGTTACCAACATTCAAGGACATGGACCATACGCGTGTATTGGTTACCAACATTCAAGGGCATGGACCATACACGTGCATTGATTACCAACATACAAGGGCATGGACCATACACGTGTATTGGTCACCAACATACAAGGGCATGGACCATACACGTGTATTGGTCACCAACATACAAGAAAATTATACTAAATATCTAAGTCGCTTAACCAATGAATAGATTGAGCACTGTTTTTATACATGTTATGATCATTAGCGTAGGAGTTTACTTTTAGTTATAGTTCATACTTTGTTTCTCGAGAATTATTTACTTTATGTATGCTGTGTTTAACATGTGTAAGGTTCGGATATCTATCAACATATATTTGTTTCTCAATATTTTCAGTAAAAGTGCAGGAAACTGCATGCACTTTGCTTAACAGGAGTATTGACTTTAATTAAATTCTTTGCAGTGGAAATCCTGGGCGAAATCCTGGGCGAAATCCTGAGCGAAATCCTGGGGGGAAATCCTGAGCGAAATCCTTGGGGGAAATCCTGGGCGAAATCATGGGCGAAATCTTTTTTTTAAATGCACACGATTTATTTTAAGTTAATTGAAATTCAAACATTTGTTTGGTCTAAAACTAACTTCCAGATCATTTCAAGCCCAACTTAAAGGCTATTTTTAAAACATCAACATATATTTTACAGGGCTACTTGGAAAAGTTCGGATACCTGGCCAAAATTGATGACTCGTCACGTGGTCCGGTCAGTCATGACGAGGCTAGTCGGATTGAAGCCATTAGGTAAGACAATGATGCCTTTTTTTAGTAAGTGTATTAAATTGTTAAACTAAATTCTGTTTACGGTGCTATAGTTCTATAACAATAAACAAGTTTGTAGACAATCAAGTAACTTGCGGTATAGCTTATCGATAAGGGAGGGGAAGTGAAAATGTATCAGTATTCCCTCTAGAATAGCTACTGTAGACATACATACTGATGGTATATTTGTATCAATGCTAAGATTCGTCCTAGCCTGGATATTGCAGTCTAAAACGTTTAAAAGTTCAAAACGAAATCAATAACGTAAAATTTGAACTATTTCTCGACTCAGGAACTTCCAGATTTTCAACGGTCTGCAGGTGACTGGTAACATCGACGACCAAACCATACTGAAAATGAGGCAGCCTCGTTGTGGAGTTTCTGATAACTCTGCACCCGGTGAACCTCAAAATTTGGAACGCCCTCTGGAGTTTAACGCCCCCGGTAAGGTTGTTTTCCTTTCCAAAATGTATTGAAACCCTGACAGTATATCGCTTTCTTTGAGGTATCTAATTGCAAACGTATTTGAATGAAATGGTAACAGCCTTTTATTTCTAGGTCATGCCTTAAATTAACCATATAATCCTTACTGCGAAAGAAAGTATGTTTAAGGGGGGGGGGGGGGGGGGGGATACAGGTACCGCGTATCAAGCCCACGGGGACGCTTTCGACGACCTACGTGCTTAAAAATTGACGTATTAGGCGCTTATTGATATTATTCGCCCCTGACAATCTGGGAACTATGTATCTGTGATAATTAAAAGAAAACAATTGATTACATAATTATCATGGTGATTGACCTTTTATTGGTTTTACACGTTTTATCCCAACCTCCATGTTCATGTAGAAATTTCATCTGCTATTAGTAGCGTCCACTATTTTTGCGCGTATTTTTACGCATATATTTTTGTTGCTAGGAAACAAGTGGAGAAAACATTCTGTAACATGGAACGTCATCAATCCTACTGGTCAACTTTCGGAGGGAATCCAAAAGTAAGTCACGTGCTGAGATTTGTGACGTCACTATGCGTGCACATTGTTAATGCACTCATATTGTGACGTCATTATCACAACAACGGTCAATTCGCCATATGACGGTGCCGTATCATTAGCAATCAGTCAATCGACGACACTGGCTTCCAAAGCTATTGTGATTAGATAGGTTGTTTCAGTTATATATTTATTGTTCATTCTGAAATGCAAAAGGCTCTGTTAAATGAGAAAAATGCCAAGCAATTTGTCTCAGAAATGTCAAGAACTGATATGATGACGAAGTTTTAATATATTTCAAAACATTTTCTTACAATACATACATTTCTGTAACGTGTGCAAAATCATCATTTGACTAATGAGTGTCACCACTTTTTTCCAACAATCGTAGACTCGCTATCAGGAACGCCTTTGAATACTGGTCCGACGTTTCCCCTCTACAGTTTCAAGAGACAAACGGGAAATCAGACATCGAGATTAAATTCGCAAACGGCTTCCATGGTGACGGCCGTGGAAATGCCTTTGACGGAAGAGGTTTGTTTCTTTTGATCTTTGTGGCGTTATTAATTAACTCTTGGCTACTTTAAACGTGCATATAAGTCAACCTTATTTAGTATTTATATGTTGAATGTAAGTTATATACTAGTAATTACTGGAACAATATTGACCCCATTACTTCCGGTAACTCTGGCAAGGCTCGTGGAAATGGCGGTATCAGGTGATCATACTAGAATCAATATCTTTCAGAGCGCGTTCTTATCGCACGGAATCCATGGATATAAATTTTTGTTACACCTCAAGTGAATTTCTAGCTATTTAATTGGTTGGGAGAACCAATCAAACAAAAATCTCTGTCACACTGACTCCGAAAATACATCGGTTTTAAGGGGCGCGGGTGATATTGCCATGAGACAGTGAAAAATATAACATGCGCGAAAAATTTGCATTCACCGCTTCGTTTCCCCACCGTGATGGTCACAAGAACGTTTGACGGCAACAGCGAATTTTATCAAGCGCCGCGGCGATAGCGATTGTAAACAGCAGACTATCAACAAACAAGATGTCATTATCGAGGTTTGCTGCCGTTTCTGAGCTACAAAGACTTTTGGTGTAACAAAATAGATATGACATTCATTAGCAGGGGACAGTGAATATTGTCAACCCTCAAAATCCCATTGTCACCCTCGGCTTCGCCTCGGGAGACAATGGCTTTCTCGAGGTGGCAATATTCACTGTCACCTGCTAATGAATGTCATATTTATATAGTATGATATATGTTTTGGTAAATCAAACCTAGTAGTGGATTCCGCGGGATAAATATATACTTATTCGTTTTTTTTTACCAATTATGACAAATTGGGGTATTTTATAGTGAGGTGTCCCCAGTTGGCTGGAACGCCTACAGAAATTGTTGATCCGCCACAAAATACCACTCCCTAACACAAACACTCACTGAAAATTTTGTGAAATATTTAAATTAATCTTTTCTTTTTTCTTTTCGTTGGTTTATTAATTTCACTGAAATTTCAGGTGGTGTTTTGGCGCATGCGTTCTTCCCCGGTAACGGTTACCTTGACGGGGACACTCATTTTGACGATGGGGAGCGATGGGTGTATCATTCCAACAGTGGCACGGAACTTGAAACTGTCGCCGCTCACGAGTTCGGTCATGCCCTTGGACTCGGCCATTCTTCGAACCCCTCTGCCCTTATGGCTCCTTACTACAGGGGATACATCCCTGGTCTAAGGCTTCATAACGATGACGTCCGAGGAGTCCAGTCATTGTACGGTAAGAATGGTCGGTGAAGCAGACGCCAAAAATTCTGTTTTTTTGTTTTTTGTTAACTGTGTATAAATTGTGCATCTAATTGGACTTATTGAATACAATATTGTTAAACTAAATTATATTTTCCAATGTTTAAGTTAAGTGGCAGTAATTATGTTAAATATTGAATAAAGATTTTCACAGGTAATCATCACAATACGCATTCAATTGTAAGTGAGTTAAACTAAAAAATATCGGAATTATGACTTGAGTGTTTTATGATATCCTATGCGAAAATTAAACTTGAAGTGCTATTTCAGGAAGTCCTTCTAGACAACAGACAACACCATCCCCACCACAAACAACAACAACAACACCACCAACAACAACAACAACAACAACACCAACAACAACAACACTAACAACAACAACAACAACAACTACACCAACACCCAGACCAACACCCAGACCCTCACCTACAACAGACGTCACCACGCCCACCACTGCTATTATACCGACGGGTGACGAGACCTTATGTAATCTTGCCTTCGACGCTATTTCATCTGGTAAGTTGATATAGCAACAAGGATTTTTTCTGGTTTAATTTCGGATTGATCCCCAATTGAGTTTAGATAACACTCTGCCGTTATAAACATAAGATGTGGTTACTTTCTTATATCAAGTGAAGGCATGACAATACTATAGATACAGCCTATAAAATAAAATACATTCAAACCTAGTCCATGAAAGCTAACATTTTAATTGAGTACACTCCACATGTCTTGCGATTCCTGCAGATTCAATAAAAAAAATAAAGTACTGTTGAACTTAATATTTCATGTGACTCTCTCGGTGTTAAGCCTACATTGTTATTATGGTATATTTTGTTTCCCGCAGGCCCAGATGGCGCCACCTACGTGTTCCGGAACCAGTTAGTCTACAAAGTGACAGCTGGGGGTCTGGCTGCAGGATTCCCCCGGTTTATCCGAGAGGTGTATCCCGGCTCGCCTAGATACGTGAAGGCTGCCGTTTATCTGAAGAGTACCGGCGAAACTTTCCTCTTTAACAACCGTGAGTACCCGGCAACATTCAAACCACCGACTGTTCAATGATTATGAGATAGTGTACGAGTATCTTTGAACCCGGGGTTGGGGTAGAAGTATATTAACTTTCCTATCTCCATCAGGTCTAAGTCCGTTATTGTATTTCACAACTTTTTCATAAAATAACATTTTGGCGATTTCTCAACGCATTCTACCGAAAAAATCATTTCATATCGATAGAGCAATTTATTTGCACTAAAACTGCAGAAAAAACCGCTTATCTTATAGAGGGGACATACACACAAAGCCTACAGAAAGACCAAAAATCTGCGACGGTATTGAAAGTTAACTTTTAGATGTATTAATTCTTTTGGATCACTTTTTCTTGTCGCTATGGTTAAATAGATAGTGGATACATTTAAAACCGACTGCAGTTATGTTTGGCCGTTCCTAAATCATAGGATATAGCTCGTTATTCGGACAATGACCAAAAGCATATGACAACCTCTTAGTTCCCGTTATCCATCTGTAAAAAAAGGTAATGTTTTTTGTCGGTAACTCGTCAGTATGTTTAAATAGGTTTACGTTATTGCTTTTTCTTTAGTTAGTGTCAAAAAGTTATCTCATATTAAGATAGTTTACTGGATTTGCTTTTCAGACGGTAAGGTATGGCGCTATTTAGGGTTCACACTACAGAACGTTACACAGATGGACAGGGACGATTTCCGGTCAGCGATCGCCATCACTAACCCTCGCTATGGAAACCAACAAGTCTACCTTTTCGGGGTAAGTCAACATATTTTTTATATCAGAAATTATATATACACATTAATGAGTACAAAATAAACAAGATGTGTAAAGTGTGTAATACAGTGTGACGGGCGTGAGGCTGCGTAATTCCGAAATCGCCAAGCGCAGTGCTTTGGTTGGTCGAAACAAAACTTGAGATAATTTATAGCCGATAATATAAAGGTATTTAATCACGTGCACAATATTATTGAGTTGTTTTGGGGTTTTTTCAGACGAATTACTTTTGGGGTTTCAACCGGCGTGCTATGAACGTAGCTAGAAGGTCGGGATACACCCTCCCCATCTCCCAGTTCTGGAGGGCTTTTCCTCGTTACTCCACGGCAGGCATTGAATGGACGGACGGATATATGTATTTCTTCAAAAAGGGGAGGTAAGTCGTCAGAGATAGAGACAGTTGTTTGGAACATGATTTGTTTTCCATTTTGTCTTGTTATACATGTACTGTCCATCGACACTTTCAATCAGTTTTTGATCATGGTAAAAATTCAAAGGTGCATGTAAATACAGGGGTAGATTTTTAAAAATGCCAGAAAGGTTGAGTAAAGGGAGATAACTATTATTTAGTGGCCGCATCTTTTTCGTTTCCATCGCAGACGACTCTGTAAAGATTAGGTACTGATAAAACATTCTGTATAATAATCTATAACGTAACCGAAATGATATTGTATGGTTATCAAGTATCAAATCTACAAATTTGGAACGAAGTTTTTAATGTATTCTTGAATTCTGTTTCAGCTACGTACGCGTGAGTCCAAATACCCGAGGTAAAGTAAGCGGATATCCGGGAGATAGCGCTGCTTCGTGGCTGAAATCGTTGTGCATAGAACCTCACCAATAAGACTGTTTGCTTTCTAAGCATGGATATTCATTAAGAATTATGAGGAAATCCACGTGAACTGTTGGCAATGACCCACGTATATCCAAATACGTAATGATAGACAATACATGTCAGTCAAATGTACATGAAATACGACAAACAGACTTGTCAAAAACGTCCATCCGGATTTTGCGGCGTTAAGGTTCAATATACTATAGACACCAGAGGAGGCATGTATATACCCAACATTGTATGTAGGGTATCGTCTAGTTTAAGGGAGTTGGTTTAAGGTCACCCGTGCACAGGGATATGAGCATTCTTAGTTAATAGAAGATCCGTAGATTTGAGGATAGTATTTCCCATCATTGAGGGCGATCTCCATCTTGAAGAATGTCTTTTATGCGAATGCCTAGCTATCATACGAGCCTAATTGTGGCGTATCATGATACTGGCCAAAACAACATGACAAACGCATATGTGATGTAAACGTTTCGCTAAACAATAGACATACAACGTTAACTATCTTATTGGTCGGAGGGTTTTAACTCTTTGCCAGAAAAAATGATTACTGAGGTTACATTACAAATATAAACACGTATAACAGGACATTCTCGCCGAACAAAAACATGACTTGGTTGATGAAACTACATCGACGTGTCATGGGTGTGTCACAACAACGCTCATCTATCGGCACGTAACCGTCTCACAACAAATACACGTGCTGTAAAACAAATACACGTCTTGTAAAACAAAAACACGAGCTGTAAAACAAATACACATATTGTAAAACAAATACACGAGCTGTAAAACAAATACACGTCTTGTAAAACAAATACACATATTGTAAGACAAATGTACGTCTTGTAAAACAAATATACGTCTTGTAAGACAAATACACGTCTTGTAAGACAAATACACATATTGTAAGACAATTATACGTCTTGTAAAATAAATACACATATTGTAAGACAAATACACGTCTTGAAAAATACATACACATATTGTAAGACAAATATACGTCTTGGAAAACAAATACACGTCTTGTAAGACAAATACACATATTGTCAGACAAACACACGTCTTGTAAAATAAATACACATATTGTAAGACAAATACACGCCTTGTAACACAAATACACGTCTTGTTAAACAAATACATTTCTTGTAAGACAAATACACGTCTTGTAAGACAAATACATTACTTGTAAGACAAATACACGTCTTGTAAGACAAATAAATTATTTGTAAGACAAATAAACGTCTTGTAAGACAAATACATTACTTGTAAGACAAATACACGTCTTGTAAGACAAATACACGTCTTGTAAGACAAATGCAAATACCTGTCTTCCCGACACATCTAACAAGCACACGTACCCGACACAAGACAAGGCGGCTGAAGCAAACTTCTGAACACACGGGTCATATAAAGATATGTTACTGATTTGATCTCTTTACAGGGCCGTAATAGTCTTATATAACAGTTACCCAGAAATAGTCGGGTTCTATCTATTGATCTCATTTACTAGATTTAAATGTTGATTTAAAGTTTTGTACGACGAAAGGCTAATAAGTCTGTATGTAATTTGTTTTGTTTGTTTGATGTTTGTATATTTATATGAATATTTATGTTTTATCCCGAACTTATTAAACTCTACAAACAGGTCAAGCTTGTGATTATGTCTCCATATTTTATCTCCGAAGAATTCGCGTGTTAATGGATACGAGTGAATGTAAATGTGTGTAAGTATAATGAAGATGTCAAATTAAAGAAAAATAAAATGTTTATAAAGCTTATAGAATGGTAGTTACTTCATTAAATCTCATCTTTGGCGGTTACTAGAGTGACAATAAAACCAACATTTCCATTCAGAAGACACTGTACAGTCTATTAACCGGACACACTGTAAAGTCTAATAACCGGACACACTGTACAGTCTATTAACCGGACACACTGTACAGTCTATTAACAGGACACAATGTAAAGTATATTAACCGGACACACTGTAAAGTCTATTAACATGACACACTGTAAAGTCTATTAACAGAATACACTGTACAGTCTATTAACCGGACACACTGTAAAGTCTATCAAACATACACACACTGCAACGTCTATTAACCGGACACACTGTACAGTCTATTATCCGGACACACTGTAAAGTCTATTAACCGGACACGCTGTACAGTCTATTAACCGGACACACTGTAAAGTCTACTAACCGGACACACTATAAAGTTTATCAACCGGACGCACTTTAAAGGCTATTAACCGGACACACTATAAAGTCTATCAACCGGACACACTGTACAGTATATCAACCGAACACACTATAAAGTCTATTAACCGAACACACTGTACAGTCTATCAACCGGACACACTGTAAAGTATATCAACCGCACACACTGTACAGTCTATTAACAGGACACACTGCAAAGTCTATCAACCGGACACACTGTACAGTATATCAACCGAACACACTATAAAGTCTATTAACCGAACACACTGTACAGTCTATCAACCGGACACACTGTAAAGTATATCAACCGCACACACTGTACAGTCTATTAACAGGACACAATGTAAAGTATATTAACCGGACACACTGTAAAGTTTATTAACCAGACACACTGTTAAGTCTATTAACAGGAAACACTGTACAGTCTATCAACCGGACACACTGTACAGCCTATTAACATGACACACTGTAAAGTCTATTAACAGAATACACTGTACAGTCTATCAACCGGACACACTGTTCAGTCTATCAACCGGACACACTGTAAAGTATATCAACCGCACACACTGTACAGTCTATTAACAGGACACAATGTAAAGTATATTAACCGGACACACTGTAAAGTCTATTAACCAGACACACTGTAAAGTCTATTAACCGGACACACTGTAAAGTCTAATAACCGGACACACTGTACAGTCTATTAACAGAACACACTGTGAAGTATATCAACCGAACACACTGTAAAGTCTATTAACCGGACACACTGTAAAGTCTAATAACCGGTCACACTGTACAGTCTATTAACCGGACACACTGTAAAGTCTATTAACCAGACACACTATAAAGTCTATTAACAGGACAAACTGTACAGTCTATTAACAGGACACACTGAAAAGTATATCAACCGAACACACTGTAAAGTCTATTAACCGGACACACTGTAAAGTCTATTAAACGGACACACTATACAGTCTATTAACAGGACACACTGTAAAGTCTATAAACCGGACACACTGTACAGTCTATTAACCGGACACGCTGTACAGTCTATTAACAGGACACACTGTACAGTCTATTAACAGGACACACTGTAAAGTCTATTAACCAGACACACTCTGAAGTCTGTTAACCGGACACACTGTACAGTCTATTAACCGGACACGCTGTACAGTCTATTAACCGGACACACTGTACAGTCTATCAACCAGACACACTGTACAGTCTATCAACAGGACACACTGTACAGTCTATTAACAGGACACACTGCAAAGTCTATCAACCGGACACACTGTACAGTCTATTAACCGGACACACTGTAAAGTCTATTAACCGGACACACTGTACAGGCTATTAACAGGACACACTGTAAAGTATATTAACCGGACACCCTGTAAAGTTTATTAACCAGACACACTGTTAAGTCTATTAACAGGACACACTGTCCAGTCTATCAACCGGACACACTGTACAGTCTATTAACCGGACACACTGTACAGTCTATTAACCAGACACACTGTACAGTCTATCAACAGGACACACTGTACAGTCTATTAACAGGACACACTGTAAAGTATATTAACCGGACACACTGTAAAGTTTATTAACCAGACACACTGTTAAGTCTATTAACAGGACACACTGTACAGTCTATCAACCGGACACACTGTAAAGTATATCAACCGGACACACTGTACAGTCTATTAACAGGACACACCGCAAAATCTATCAACCTAACACACTGTATAGTCTATCAACCGGACACACTGTACAGTCTATTAACAGGACACTTTATAAAGTCTAATAACCGGACACACTGTAAAGTCTATCAAACAGACACACTGTAAAGTCTATCAACCGGAAACACTGTAAAGTCTATTAACCGGACACACTGTAAAGCTAACCATTCTTTGAATATATATATTTATACTTAATAACACAGCATCGATATATGAGGAAACATAAACACAAAAAACCCAGAAATAAACATAAACCAAACCCAAAGTACATTTTAATACACCAACAATATAATCCGGTGTTATCCGAAATTCCAAACCGGAAACTATTACTTTACTCCATACTGTATCCCTTCTACTCATTTTCCCGTCCTTTCTTCGTCTGCTGGAGAACCGAACTACCCGAGAGCGAAGCGGACGTAAAACCAATCAATCAATCAATCAATCAATTCGACCCTGTGCATTGTCTAGTAGGTTACTTGTGGTAGTGCTATTTTATTTCGATATTTTAGAATAATATTTAACCAACATTTGCCAGTATAACATATATTTTAATTGTAAGTTAATAAATTGAGATTGTAAAACAATTGTGTCATGGAATTATAACAATCTGATTCACAGCAGATAACTGTCTGCATTGTTTAAAATTGACTCAAATAAAGACTTACATGATTATTTGGACCAGAAGAATAAATTATATCTGAAATATCTGAAGTGAAATTATTAAACTACATGTATATATATATAAGACTACGAGCTATTTGGATCAAGTGAAGTTATGAAAAATTTGTCAAAGCATCAACACAAGAAAAACAAAATCTTAACTATAATTGACCAAACAATGAGCCGAGGCGAAACAGGGGAAAAGACGACATGGACCCTCCATAAAACAAGCAAAATAAAATGCCAATCGTTTCCTTCACCACGATTTAAACCGGTCTTGAAAAACCCTCTATCCGGACACAAGTCGGTGTTAGATGACATCAGTGTCCCTCTCTCCGGACACAAGTCAGTTTTAGATGACATCGGTGTCCCTCTCTCCGAACACAAGTCAGTTTTAGATGACATCGGTGTCCCCCTCTCCGGACACAAGTCAGTTTTAGATGACATCAGTGTCCCTCTCTCCGGACACAAGTCAGTTTTAGATGACATCGGTGTCCCCCTCTCCGGACACAAGTCAGTTTTAGATGACATCGGCGTCCCTCTCTCCGGACACAAGTCAGTTTTAGATGGCATCGGTGTCCCTCTCTCCTGACACAAGTCAGTTTTAGATGACATCGGTGTCCCCCTCTCCGGACACAAGTCAGTTTTAGATGACATCGGCGTCCCTCTCTCCGGACACAAGTCAGTTTTAGATGACATCGGCGTCCCTCTCTCCGGACACAAGTCAGTTTTAGATGACATCGGCGTCCCTCTCTCCGGACACAAGTCAGTTTTAGATGGCATCGGTGTCCCTCTATCCTGACACAAGTCAGTTTAAGATGACATCGGTGGCCCTCTATCCGGACACGAGTCAGTATTAGATGACATCGGTGTTCCTCTCTCCGGACAAAATTCAGTTTTAGATGACATCGGTGTCCCTCTCTCCGGACAAAATTCAGTTTTAGATGACATCGGTGTCCCTCTCTCCGGACAAAAGTCAGTTTTAAATGACATCGGTGTCCCTCTCTCCGGACACAAGTCAGCTTTAGATGACATCGGTGTCCCTCTCTCCGGACAAAAGTCAGTTTTAAATGACATCGGTGTCCCTCTCTCCGGACACAAGTCAGTGTTAGATGACATCGGTGTCCCTCTCTCCTGACACGAGTCAGTATTAGATGACATCGGTGTCCCTCTCTCCGGACACAAGTCAGTATTAGATTACATTGGTGTCCCTCTATCCGGACACAAGTCAGTATTAGATGACATCGGTGTCCCTCTCTCCTGACACGAGTCAGTATTAGATGACATCGGTGTCCCTCTCTCCGAACAAAATTCAGTTTTAGATGACATCGGTGTCCCTCTCTCCGGACACGAGTCAGTTTTAGATGACATCGGTGTCCCTCTCTCCGAACACAAGTCAGTTTTCGATGACATCGGTGTCCCTCTCTCCTGACACAAGTCAGTTTTAGATGACATCGGAGTCCCTCTATCCTGACACAAGTCAGTTTTAGATGACATCGGTGTCCCTCTATCCTGACACAAGTCAGTATTAGATGACATCGCTGTCCCTCTCTCCGGACACAAGTCAGTTTTAGATGGCATCGGTGTCCCTCTCTCCTGACACAAGTCAGTTTAAGATGACATCGGTGTCCCTCTATCCTGACACAAGT